GGTCCCGTGGTCGACGGACGGACGGTTTCGAGTCGTAAACACGAGGGCATATAAATACACTTACAGCTGAAACCTTCATTAAAATTTCTCGTGAATACCTTTTATAAAAATTACCACATCGGTATGGCATCGTAAGCGGAGTTATGTTCGCTTTTTGGTGTTGAATGCATACCTTAGCTTTGAGGTGGCTTAAGTGGACGCCTAATGCCGCCCTAATAGCCTACCGCATAGGAGAGGACGTCTGAGCCATTATAAACTATTTAATTACGTATATTATGTTAATACTTGTTATCCTAGACACCGTTGTCTAAGACAATGTTCGTTACATGCCTAAAATTCTTGGGCACGAGTTTACAATATGATTTATACGCCCTTTATGTTTATATATCTATATTAGACCATCCCATTTAGATATACATTATGTTGTATTATTTGTATTGATAACAAAAGCGTTGAGTTAGTGTTGGCAATGGTGTCTATTTTGGGATAGGCAGATTTATTATACTGCCTATTACTAAAATGGAATCTGTATTTAAAAACAAAAATCGCATTGGATGTAATTGATATGAAAGGAAGTAACATGTACCGAAGCATATTAAACGAAATCGCAATATTTATTCTTTTAAGTGCTCTTAACAACGAAAGTGAAAAAGAACATTAAACTAATTCGTAGATTAGAAAGTTTGTAACACACATCTGTCCTCGGATTTTGTCGTATTCAAAGCACTAGCTTAGACAATAAATTGTAAGCGACTATGTAGTCAATGGTTTTGTGTTAAGAGGTTTCAAATCAACACAACAGTTGCAACGCAATGTAAAGCTGCTAATCGCTTGTTTATGAGGATTATCTTTCTCAGGTCTGTTTTGTTCAAAGGATTTAGACATTAGAATTATAGTCAGTTTCAAGCAACGTTGTTGCTAAAGTTTAACTTAATCTTTGTGTTCCTAACATGTAATAGGTGATGAAACTTAGTTTATCTTCAGAAATTTGTTAGTATTGTATTTAATTCTACTTTTTTAAGTAACCTTCAAGTCTTTATAACTCCCCTTTTTATCTATTTACACGATAAAGCAATATTAATTGTTTAATTTGTATAAACAAGTAATCCCAGGTGGTATCTTTTAAGATAAAATAAGATATTTGTGTTGAAAGTACAACAAAATGTAAATATCAAATGTTAAATATATTAACAAGTCAATTTGCGTACAGTTGAAAATACCACGGTCTTATTCTGTGCCATCGGAATCGTCGCCGCAAGCGGGAGAATCTCATAAATAAGCCATCGCTATTTAGCTAACAATCGGGCCCCGATGGGCATTCGGTCAGATTCCGTGCAGGCTGCCGTGCGAGCCACGTGTGTCCGCATGCCTCGGCTGGGACATGCCTCGCCTCGGCTACCTCGAGTTGCCTCGCCTCCGCTCGCATTCAACCCCTATGCCGAATATTCCATGCACAATGGACGTATGCAATACCAGCCAACATCCAGTAATGCAGTCCGCCCAAATTGATTGTCCCGCGAATATCTAAATGCTTTTCGTGTATCCTCTTTCAATCAAATCGATTTTACTGACAGTATTTTTACTTAAACTCACATGTAACATGTATTAAAATTTCTAAGTCATCGCTATTAGATTTTTTTTTTAATTTTACAAAATTGGTTTCTTTTCTTTCATCTTGTGTTCTGGTCCAATTTTTTGGCCATTATTTTTAAACTTGTTGATCGATATTTTTAAGCTTTTGAAGGTGAAGATATTAAGTGTAATTTGGTTGTCAATATAAATAAGTTAAACGTGAATTACGAAAGCGATATTGCTTAAAGTTGTACACACGAAAATTAAGTAATCATTAAACTGAATGGAAAATTTTCTGTGAAAGTAATGTAAGGACATGTTAACTGAAAGTGACTGGTTGTGTGATTTTGAAATTTATTGCAATAGGGCAGTTATGTCTACCCTGTATTTATGGTAAGGTATTTATGTCACTGGAAGTATATTTTTAATACAAACATCAATTAAATACCCAATAGTACTTTATTACGCACAGACTAGATGCTTTCTTCTTTCGTGTTTAAAGAAGTTTCTTTAAAGCATGAATCATCTTGTATATTAGCTCTTGGTTTTGTAAATGTTGGCAACGACGTATAGTTAGTCATGCAACAGGAAAAAAAACTTTTTTCTAAAGATCAACCGAAAAAAAGCAAATACACAACGAATATGTTCGGCGCTAATTTCTGATTCGCGTGCGCGTCTCGAAAGATCTTATATACGTCCACTTGTGTGATATAAAGTCGAGTTACGTTTTATGACTTTATCTTTTATCGAGATCTTTAAAAAATACAACTTTGACTTATAAATTGTTTTTTTTTTATTAAATTCTCGTTTCGATTTTAATAATCAAATGATAGTGCAATAAAATTATTACATTATTTCCTATGCAATATTATATTTAATTGGTGTCCGTCTACAAACCTTGTTATTAGTATGTAGATTTACAAGTGGTGTTCTTACGTGGTCTTACGAACGAAAGCTCTTTTCGTATATCTTTACACATTTACATCGACTTTTTAAATCTCCATACCCTCAGCGATTGATTGTTCAAAGACATTTGAAATCCTATTTACCTCATTATAACTTAACACGTGTTCTGTTTACATTTTAGGTAAGTGTCAAATGGAAAGTTTCCAGCGGTGATCAATTCGCACGATGCACCCCGCCGGGTACTACGCTAACATCGGTAAGACACTTTCTATACAACACGCGGCATCTCGCTCACTTTGATGCTGCTACAAGTGGATTTGCCGGAGAATAGGATGCGTTGGTAGGGGAAATATCCTCTTTTTATGCGTACCCTCCTTTGTTGTTAAAGTTAAGCAACGTGTTTGCAAATGCGGATTCCTAAGGGCAATCGTTTCTCTATTTTGGGGATTTCGTTGGTCAACTGTTCGTTTGACAACTTATACTATAAAAAATCGATAGAAACACGATTGCAAATGCGGTTTATTAACTATTTTAGTAATTACCCTAGATATTAAATACTCATTCAACTAAGATTCATCAATTTTGCATAAAGATCGTTAGACGAAAACAACGTTAGAAGAACCATAGACGTATTTAAGAAGGTAAATATAAAACGCAAATCATAAATTGGTCAAGAAACACATCTTTTGAGCACGATTGCATTCGTCGGATGTGTGTAATCAGTTATTTTGTTATGCAAAAGCTTACAATGTGATATTTAACTTTTTAAAAGTCTTGTTAATACTAGAGCTTTTGAAATATACGTTTTACAAGTTGAAAATACTTTAATCGTAACATGTTACGTGTAATCTTGCATGTACACGTTATCTGTCTTAATTATTCTTCGTTATCAGCTTATCATTTCTGCAAGGCAGGATTATATCACGATATCATCGTCATATGGTGCCGTTCTAAGAATTTAGTTTCACAGATTCACACGTTTATTATTTCTTCCTTACTAACTTTTATAGATTAGATTAAGTTTTGTATCTATATTAACTTTATAAATATTTGTATTCATGTATGTAGTGAATAAACTTAATAAATAATGGACGCATTTTAAATATTAATTTACCATTAGAAGGCTATATTAATAATGGGTAATATAGGTATATTTATTACTAGACAGAACTTTTTTTTTAATTTCTCGCGAACTAAGTCAAGCAAAAGCTAGTTTTGCATAATGTATGTAAAGAAATATGATTTTGAATTTGGTTCATTAAAATATTAAGTACTTAAAATTACTTAATATAAAAATTAGGTATTTAATATTGTAACATTTTGACAAAATTTTAAATAATAATCCGATATATTTAACGTAAATAAGCTCTTATCATCGTATGATACTTAAGATATTGTCACACTAAAAAATAATGACTCATACCACGTGTTATAATCTCAACCGTTATAAATAAAAAACAAACAATATATGAAAAAAATTAATCTCCAGGAGCTTATCTTCATAATGTTTTAGACTATTTTTAATGTTACCATGTCGATAATGAGGTTTTATCACGAGGGTAGAACGACATGACAAAACCTCAGAGCAATGCTGTACTACTGTGTCAACAGTACTACTCTACCTATTGTTTACTTCCCTACCTTCGTGTGTAATTACCATAAATGATGTATTTGATGTTTGGGTATACTGATAAATGTCGGAAACGTCTGTAGGATCGCGTGACTTTTGATTTTAAAGTATCGACGCAGATTCCCAGCACAACATACTGTATCATATCGAATTTACATACGAGTGGAACTAATCCTGTTTACACGCAACGATTGGAAAAAAAAATGTAAAATTATGCGAATAATATTCAAGCATTTTGAATGATTTAAACAGTTAGCGTAAATTGAACGGAAATATTTATAACATGATAAAACGCATTTTTACTTTAAAAATATCTTACTAATAGTACAAATGCGAAAGTTTAGATTGATGGGTGTTTGATAGAGTTTGTAGCCTAAACTGCTGTTCGGATCTCGAACATGGCATAGATGTACAGGATATTCTGGAAGAACACATAGGCTACTTACTTTATTTTTTTTTTAATTCTATGCTGACTGAGATGCGGGCGAAAGCTAGTGTGTTATAAAATTTAAAATTGACTATATTTCCTTTTTTTTTCTTTTTCTTCCATTTAGATAAAATGAAAAAGAAAAAATATATATTTATTTCTTAAGTGTTACCTGTAATAGTTATTGTTTTTAGTTTTCGCAATAAAGGTTAAAAAAATTGATTAAACTAGTCTTTCTTTTTGTGGTTTAGAATAGCGTACAGTCTTAGATTCGGTGTCGATTAAGGCAGTATTTTTCCTTCTCCATCCCACGCTCACTAGTCTCCTTATTCGGTGCGTATTTTCTGATAACTTGATTGATTTATTGTGCTCATAAACATATCTTACTCATTAACATAAAGGTTTTAGATATATCCTTATAAAGGTAACAAGTTAGAAATAAAATTCAGTTGTATTTATATAAATCGACGCTCGAAATAGCTGTATCACTTATTAACAAAATATGGTAATGTGTTGGTCGTTGCTTAAATGAGCTAGTATTATGAAAACACTCAAAAACAGAACAGAGGGTTTATTACGAATATAAATCGACATTTTTTATTAGATTTGTACAGCGCTGCCGGTGAGTATACCAACAAATCTCATACTTTTATCGATAATGTTACGAAAACGTTCTCGCAATTGTCACTCATATTCGTAATAGACCCCTTTTCTATGAAAAGCGTATTCAGTGTCAATGTCAAAATGTCTCGATCGCTTACCGATGCAAGTCGGGAATTGTGAATACATTTCGTTTATTGTTTATGCAATCTATTGGTGTTAGTTATGAAATTCAATTTGACTACAAATAAAAGAACTGTTTCATAAAACTTTAACAAAACGATACAAACAGATGTGTTAGGCATTTATTATTATTTAATTGCATTGAATATTCCTTCCCATGAATAAATTTCGACACCCTGCAACAGCATAAAGTTCGTTTCACGCACCATTGGCGGATTTTGATGCTTCCTACTTCATTTGCATAATACGTTATTTTTTTAATAATACACGCATCAGCGACTATAATATTGTTAGATACGTTTTTATTTTACATTTAAATAGACGTTGTCGACTACAATTTATTTATCGAAACAAAAATTGAGAACAAATTAATGTAGCAAGAAATCAAGGCGAGATGACTCTATTACTTTCGTGTGAATTTTTTTTTTAATATTTGTTAAGCTAGCGCTTGACCACGATCCCACCTGAAGGAAGTGACGATGCAGTAGAAAGATATTTCTTAGAAAAGTATCTTGATAGTCCTATCGTTGTTTCAATTATCAACACAACACTATCAGATAGTTTCCATCCGCTATTGAAGCGTTAGCCTTCGGATATAGTAAATTCCGCGTAATCATTCGATTGCTATGACTTTTCTAGATTTAAAATAATGTTATTATTGAAACAGTTGGCCCCAGAAGTAAAAGTAATACCTTTATCTACATAATCTCTTTATCATTGACTACTTCATATTTCGCTATCGTATATGTGTTATAACAAACGTAATGATTCATCTATTTAGTTTACTCACGTCACCTTTGTTTTGTTTTGCTTGAGGCCTTATATTCTTTCTTTACTGGAAACATTTAGATCTATCAAGGATTTACGATACACGATAACGTTTTAGATAAATACGTGTTAGATTTATATAGTTAACCTATCCTGAACGTTGTTAGTGCCAGAGGGTCTATTACGAATATTTGCATGTCAGTTGCGAGAACGTATTTTTTCACAAATCTAATACAAATATTGTCGATGATTTATGAAAACGTTCTCACGAACATTCGTGATACATCCTCTGTTTTCACTGACATATTTTTACATATACATTTTATTATCGCTACTTTTTTAGATAATAATTCGGAAGGTAAAAATTTTGATACATATGTTTTGGCAGTGGAATTAATCTGTTATGATTATAAGTCTTCAAATACTTTTAATAGATTATTATAAACGTTCAAGTACATGAATATAATTTAAGAATTAGAAATTTTAGTTTTCTTGTATCTGACTGTTGGCTTTATAGTGTTTAACTATTTATCTTCTGTGAAAACAAAGTGGAAACAGGAAGGAATAAAGCAATCGGTTTGTATTGACATATTTACAATACCATACAACGATAATCATAATATTTATAAAAAATATAATTACTAATTAATAAGACCTCTTCCCTATTTGCTCTTTAACTTATCTATTGTGCTAGCTTAAGTTTTTACTAATAATATTAAGCCTCAATATGCTTTTTTTTTTTCAAGAAGCGCATTAGAACATCCGATAATTTTTGACCGGAAATGTTAACGACGTTGTAAAACCGGTTTTTAATATGATATTAGTTTTTTTTTAAATCTAATGTGCCATCTAGTTTTGAGATGAGTCATAGTAAATCGATAATGGAAGGATTAGGTGCGGTAATAAAACTTGTTGAACAACTTGGAAGAATGGTTTTTTTTTAGTCGACTATTAATATGTTTTTTGCGTTTATTGCAATGATCTGGCTAATGTTATGAAATGTTTGAAGAGGATATTATTGTCTTATCTGTCCTTTAAATATAGTTTTATTAGCTGACTTACTGTTGCTCGCGACTTCGTCCGTGTAAAATTGAAAATTATAGCCTACAGTACAGATAAATTACCTTTCTAACGGTGAGAGAATTTTTCGAATCGGCTCAGTAGTTTTTGAGTTATTTCAATACATACAAAAATACAAATCTTTTCTCTTTATAAATTTAGTATAGACGATGAAAGATAAATTTATCATCTTGTCTTATTTGGATCATAATGATCAATACCCAGTAAATAAGGCAATATTTCCTTCTAATTGTTTTAATGATACTTCACATTATTATACTAATACTCGTATTATAAATGCGAAAGTTTAGATGGATGGATGGATGGATGTTTGTTAGAGTTTGTAGCCTAAACCGCTGATTGTATTTCGATGAAATTTGGCATAGATGTAGAGGATAATCTGGAAGAACACATAGGCTACTCAGTTTTGGTTTTTTTTAATACTACGCGTATAAAGTCGCAGGTGAAAGCTAGTATAATCAAAATTTTAATATATAATGTGACTTGATATTCTTTCGATCAAGTCAAGCGTTTCCTTATTGAGATTACTGCATAAAAAGTCTTATTTATAAGAAAAATATTTACGACT